TCTGGTGTGGGTCCGTAGTTTGACTTGAGCTGCATGTACGTCTACATCTGTTGTAAGCGTGTCTCTGTGTATTTTCAATGAAGCAAAGGCCTACAGTCCTACAATCCTGGACAAAATAGTTGGAACACCTTGTGAGAAGGGCGGTCAAAAGATATCCCTTTCCCCCATTCAGTGTTGCGGTCATCTATTGGACCAAGATTAAGCCCAGCTTACCCAATGAGAAACCACATTGACAGGGGTGAGGTGGAGGCATGTTCCAATGAGATTTGTCCAGGATTGTTGCTCTAGATAACAGATTTGGATGTAGCCTTGGTTTTGGCCAGGCCGCATCTGTTTTGGTTTGGTTTGTCCGTGTCTGGTCACTCTGGTCATAGTCTTTGCTGAGGTTGCATGCTCTCGGTCTTTATCAGTCTCAGCTTTGGTTCGGTTTTTTATGCTCTGATACATTAAATTGTCGTACCAAGGAAGTGTCACACCGAATACTCCGTACTTCAATCTAGATTTTCTTGTTCTCAACTTTCTTTACTTTTTGGATCTTCGATAGTAGAAACCCAATTTTTGTTTTTGCTAATTAATACACATGTCTGCCATTCACAGATATTGTAGGTACATGTACCATGCCCTCTTGAGATGAGAGTTCATTTCAATTAGCACAAAATTCCAGTAACAAGACATAGTGGCTAAGAAATGGCATTTATAAATGAGGAATGGACACTTGACTTTCAGAGTCCTACTGCTGCTGCTTAGACCAGAGGCTCTGAAGGCAGCACTGAATGGGCAGGTGGTGTCCAGCAACCTCTTGGACTACTTTGTGAAGAAGCGATACCTGGATACCAGCAGGACTGTCGACCAATCAGAACTGATGCATAGAATTGCCAAAGATGTGTTAAAAGAGGTACGTACATGTATGTGCTACTTCACTGTTTTTTCTCTGCAATAGCTTGCAATCCGTGAGCCCTCTTTGACGGGGCATGAGATTTGCACCCTGTCCAACACAATGTAAGACAGGTAGACAAACAGTTTTCCACTTGTTCAATTCCTGAACTTTTTCCACTTTGTTTCTTTTGCAATGACTGGTTGGCTGCAGTAGAGTACACAGTGTGTCTTACAAACTCTAAAGCTGTATTAAGATGGCAGATCCAGCATTTACAAACAGGTGGAGCGTTCAACGTTTGCAAAAGGCGAGGGGTCTCCCAAAATGGAGGTGAACCCCCAACTTACAAGTAGGGTGTCATTCTGGTGATTTCTGTCTTTAAAGCTGTCAAAGAACCAATGAAGATTCAAAAGAAAGGGGAAAAACCTGTCTCTCTCTTTTAAAAAAGAAATCAAAACTTGGAGGGAGCCTGCTGGGTGCAAACCTCCACTACCCAATCCTCTGCTGGTGCTGATTTTAATCAGGTTCAATTACCCTGTGCAGCGCTGCATAAAAGTCACAGTGAAAAAGGTACATTTTGGGCCAGTTTGTTACACATGGATCTGGATCAGTGATATCACTGGTTTGCTGCATCCATTAGGCGGGTTCTGGTGTCAGTGAACCAATGACGGATCACTGATCGCGATCCGGATCCGCATCAAGGCCCCGTGGTTATAATAGACCTTTTGAATAATGGAACTTCATTCATGTGTTTCTGAAATGCCAACAGGCCAACAATTTCAGTAAGCCCCGCCCACTGTGCCCTAAGGCACTGAACAGGTGTTGTACTCCATTGCCGCACTAAATGTTCCAGCCACGCGCATCATACATGCCTATAAACATGTCAGACTTCTGTCACACATGTCAGTCATAAATCACGGCTGTGATTTTGGTCAGGACATACCGGGGCGGGGCTTAAAGGAGCGGTCTACCAGCTCCTGAGGAGAAAATGTGGAGTTCCATGGTCTTGTGGTTAAGAGTATCGGATTTGCGGTAAGCAGGTAAAGCCACAGGTTGCGGGTTCGAATCCAGCCTGGGGTCATGGTGCGTGTGCCCTTGGGCAAGGCACTTTGTCACTCATTGCCTCTCTCCACCCAGGAGTCATTGAGTACCCGTGAGGGCAGAGATGATTATTGTGGATGATTTTCCTTTGTACCGAATAGTGGCTGGCAGCGCCGAGCTGTATACTCCCCAGGGAGGGGAGATGGTATTTGGAAAGTGTCATGGGCCGAGTAAGCAGGGATAATAATGACGTACAGCGCTTCGATCCATGTTAAAGGCGCTTTATAAATACCTATATTATTATCATTAAGCAGTTGGCAACCCTCTTCAGTGTATGGTATTCGGCATCATTTACAGGTGCCACTGTTTAAGCAGTGGGGTGACACTGCTGTGGAAGCACTGGTTAAGGCAGTCCAATCCGAGGGCCCTGCAGTCACATTGGTTCCAGCTGGCTCCGTCATCGCCACGGAAGATGATCCGCCGGACGAAATAGTGGTCATCATTCGGGGCAGGTATAGGCTCCGCCTTTCTTCTTCCCCCCCCCCCAACTGTCTGGTGTGGAGTGTTATTGGAGTGGTGCTTCAAGCGTCAAAAGCTTTAGGTGGATTTGGAGGTTGTGGGTTCGAATCCAGCCTGTTGAGTTTTGGTGCATATGTCCCCAGGCAAGACATTTGTCACCAAACTGCTTTTTGTTCTCCCCGCCCAGAAGTAAACAGATGGATAGCTGTAAAGGCATACATGATTCTTTGTTTGATGTCAATTTGCACCGCGATGGTAAAGCTTAAGTCCCCTCCTTTATGAGCTGAGATGACCTAAGGAAGGATTTATAAGCTGGTTGAGCGGGGGTCAGAAAATTGTAAAGGTGTCCTGACCTTGTTAAAAGGGAGCTGTGTGTCTTTCTTTCCTCCTGTGCTAGGGTGGATGTGTTGAAAGAGAAGGAGCTACTGACATCATTGGACAGTGCTAGGTGGCCAGTATGGCACGGCGAAGAAGGTAGGTTACTAGAGGCGTGATGTGTCGCGAACACAGTGACCCTTATTCACAGAATCACAGGTTATGGAAACATGGCGCTGATTCCCTTCAGGCAAAAACTGATCTGTATGTAACATGCCAGAAAAGTGATTAGATAATCAGTTCAAACATCTGCATTAATTGGCACTGTACCTGGATCATATGACAAAAATATGGCGGCTGTGCATGCCCACGTAGGGACTTATTTGTTTGGGTTTTTTTTTGCACATTGGAGCAATTTGATAACCTTAAATCAGGCCACAGGTAGTCACAGACCTTCAGAGGTAATTTAAATCCAAACATTCCGTGGATTACAACTTGCCAAGTAGCCTGCAACAAGTTTGCCTACTGACAAAACAACTAGATAAGCCCACCCAACAAATGGCCAATCCAGTTGCTGTGCACGAAGCGTGATCCATCACTAGGGAATGTGCAGTGACCCATGTCAGTGTTACGTAACACTTAGCTGGCGACTGCAGGGCACGTCTCACAGGAAGTATCAGTGCATTAAGTGTTCAGGTTGTGCGTTACGTTTCTCGTTGCATTATGATGAACAACGCAAATATTTCACTGGGGTTGTTTTGCACACCGTGGCAAGACCTTGGGCCAATTTCATAGCACTGCTTAGGGGAAAAATTTGTTTAAGCGTGAAAAAACCTTGCTTGACAAATCAGATTACCAGCCAAAACTTCTTGTGATGTATATTTTTTGGAGTGGTATTCACCTGTCTTTTGGTTAGCATGACAATCACATAGAGTTTGAGCTGGTAACCTTTGTTTATTAAGCAAGGTTTTTTCGTGCTTAAGCAAATTCTGTGCTTATAAGCAGCTCTATGAAATTGGGGGCATTTGAAGCAAGATATGGAACGGAGAGAACCCCTCCACGCCATTTTGTTGGTCATTGTTTGATCGGAATCTCAGGAATTCTTTACAGACTTCTGGGGGGATGTGTTAGGTAACAATAGTCTAGAGTGTGTATAGGATTTAGACAGGTAAGGGGGGTACCCCTCCGTCCCATATCTTGCCTGGTATACCAGGGAGTGGGGTAGGAAGAGGGGCATTAGCCATGCCCTTCTCCCCTTGAAATTGTGACATGTGCGAAATATGTACAAGCCACAGTAAATCTGTCTGGGTACCCCCTTCAAAAGACTCAAATCCCTGGGTGCCCTCACAGAAATTCCACCCTAACGCTACTTTTTCTGCAGTGCTTAATGCATATATGCGCATAAATAGATGTGCACAAAAGGTCAGACGTGTGGATCTTACTGTGGTGGTTTTCCTAACAACCGGAGCACAAGAATTGAAGTCAGTGAGGGTATTTGATTGCATACCAGAAGCTGCTTCCGTGTTTCCTCTGCCATCTCAATTGTTCCCTTCCGCTTGCTATGTATTCCAGCTCTGTACGAGTGGCACAAATGCCAAGATAATGTGGATCCCGATAGAAATGGTAGGACGTTGCCTGACTCAAAAAATTCTTTACTTACCTTTTTTGCCTCTTTCTCATTAATTCTCTCCTCTGTATGCACTGCTTTTTATCTTAGACACCCTAATATGTACTAACAATTTGGAGATTTTTGAGAAGTTGTAGGTTTTGGATGCATGCCGTATTTGTCACCCACAGATTTCCAAGTGTGTGAAAGTTCAACCATCTTTATTAAAGTAAGACACTTTCTGCCTTGCCTTTTAGCAAAGAATCTGACTTTCTCTTAACCTTATTTAATTAACTCTTCACCACAACTTTCAAGGCTTTTCTGCAGTTGTCACAAGAAAAGGGGCCGTCCATAAAATATGCACGCAGAATAGGCCGCCTTTTTAGACCCCTTCCATCTTTAAAAACAGCTGGTTCCCATGTTTTCTTTGACATATCACACGGATTGCGATGGTACCGGTGAGATCAAAGTGGTGGGGGTCGAAGGCGTTGTGTCACAATGATTTTTTTAATGTGTAGTGTCTTGGCCCAGGACATTAAAAGTGCGAAATCAGCGCTGGGCGCATGTACGCATTACTTTGTAGCCCCCCCCCACAAAGTGTACAGAATGTCAGTGATTTCCCCTTCCCCTCAATGCGTTCATATTTTACAGCCTGCCCAATACCCTTCGTGGACATTACTGCGGTAATGTCCACGAAGGGTACACTGACGAAGTGAACTGACATGCACTCCCAGGAACGCCGGGGAAAGCAGTTTCTCCTTCAAGAAAATGAGTGCCCCCCCCCCAATTATCGGATGTACCTTCCAAATCACCCCCATTTGTAGTACTGCCAGCTTCTGCATCAGTTGGCTCTGCGCCAAGAATATTCAAGAATATTAGCTGGCTGACAGAATTCCTGTACAAATGTACTGAATGGGTGCTTTCCTACACAACCTTACCATCAACATGTCAGTTCACATTTACGAAATGCACGCTAGATAATTGCATGACGCGACTGACTATTTATCTTGCACCCTTGTAGATTAATTGGTCACTTGCCATCTCTAGAGTACCCTTTTGTTCAGCCCTGTGAATTGTCATTGTAAATGAGTACACTTACGAGTGTGAAACTCTTTCACAAGGAAAGACAAAAAGTAGCAGATGCACTTGTTTGCCAAAGTACACTTTAGAACTAGAAGAGTTTAGTAATAGCGCTTGGTGTGTGAGTTATGAATTATACACTGAAACTGAAAAATAGTGTTTGATCAGAACTAGCACTTTGCATGGGTTTGTTGTCGATCGCATTCCACCCCTCTCTTTTGTTTGTCTTCCTGATGAACACTACACTATTTTTCCAAAACTTGTCGGTAAGATATTGAATGATATATACTGTACATGTTCATTGTGGTTCTTGGGTGAATTTCTGGGACGGTTGAGTAACTTTTTAAATACACGTAAAAGGGTTGGAAGAATTACTTTGAAAGAGGTATACTTTTTTCCTAATATATTCTTCCTTAAACCACCTGAAGAGGAATGGAGCACATTTTTAAAAGTTTTCTTTATAGATTTATTTGAAATGTTCTAAGATGGAGCCAAGATAATAAGAAACGTGGATACTTTTTGGTTGTGTATGGTTGAGGGGGTATCTAGATTCGCCGACCAATTGTACTTGCTGGCTAGGAGTTTGCTCTGGATGAAGTGGCTTTATTTTTCATTTACAGGCCTCTTTACTGGCAGTTCGAGCTTAGTGTCTCTGAAGACGGCGTCTGCATGCAAGATGATCATCATCAAGAATGCCGTCATTAACGAGGTGGTGAAAAAGGTACCAATGAGAGGGCAGTTCTTTGCCCAAATATTCTGACATGAACAATTTCTCAGCCATAAGTGCAGCCAAAGTGGGTCCAGAATGTACCGGCTTGGGGATTTGATAGTAAAATTACATAAAGAAGCATATCTGGACGCTAACGTGGATTACAAGTGCATAACAGACAGAGCTGAGTCAATTCGAATAATTCACTAGTCGAATATTTGACCTTCAATTCAATTGAGTATCCGAATATTCGGTTGTACCGACCGGCAGATTGTTGAGGAACAAACCATATACAAAATGATTTTAATAATGCACACAATTGTACACTGTGATCACTATAAGAGCTTCTCACGTCTAGGAGTATCTCCAGCCATGATTTACAAAGATTAAGAGGGGAACAATACTCCTTGCCCTGTTGAAAAGTTCTCTTCCTTTTATAATGTTTAATGAAAAATTTACTTTTTGAATCATTGTAAGATTTCTGTCGCTTTTCATGTAAATCTGCTTGAAACAAGCCGCCATAGTGCAATTTCTCTCATTTTAAAGAAAGGAAATTCCCCCTTCCTTTTCATGAATTTTGCATTTGAATATTCAAATTTAGAAAATAATATTTGAATATTTGATAATCGATCGAATATTTGGCTATTTGGCACAGCCCTAATAACGGAGACAGTCAAAATAGTGGATAAGAGCGCTGAATGCTGTATAAACCACAATATTCTCTAATCGGGAATTATTTACTGTTGTAATTTAATTTCAGTCAGGTGCAATATTTATGAAACAAAGTTTCTGTTGCAACTAGACTTATTAACTTTAAACCAAGGGTAGATCAAAAACCATTTGGGGGGGGGTAGGCCAGATTTTTGTTTTAGTTGGGAGGGGGAGAAATATTTCGGAAATTACTTTTCGTAACCTTTTGTGCCTTTTCAGAGTATATCCAGCACGATACGTGGCAAAGGAGGACCCCCAATGTGAATGCCCTACGGCTATTGTGCCTACTGCATCCCCCCCTAGAAATCTGAAAGGAATTCCAAAGATTCCGTCAACAAAAAAGAAGACACATTAGAGGGGGGTCCCCTTTGCCACATATCGTGCACCCAATGTTTCAGAGGGGTGGGGCTTAATTTGGGGGCTATTGATCTGGTTTTGGGAGGAGGTAATCCCCACTATCTCTGCCACATCCCCCCCTCCAAATTCCCTCCACTCCCCCCTCCCCCCACATTCTCTTGGATCTGCCATTGAACAATACTATTTTTGCTTGACTAGTTGTCTGACTGGCCGACAGCAGCAGTCATGCCCAACTTGAAGTACCAAGGCTGTGTTGACCAGGATAAAAAAAAGAAACACGTGAGATCAGAAAAGAAATTAAAACTGGCCAAAAGTGGATTTTATGAACCTTCATCCCAAAAATTTAGGGCAAAAACTGTGGCCTAAGAATACAGGTCGTATCTACGTCTTGTCTATTCCTGTGGATGTATGTAATCTCCAAAGCACAAGATGGAGACAGCCAGCGATTTCACCAAGAGGCTGGACAAGTGGAGACTGAGAATGGCTGGCTCAGCGGCGGCAAAGAAGGTGTATGCCTGCTACCTACTGGAGGTATGGTGTGTCAACATCAGACCTCTGTGTACACAGAGGTTTCTTTTAGGAATTAATGCTGAAGTGTTCCTGGTCACCATTTGAGCAATGTCTTGGGCCATATTGCTCATGGTTTCTGAGTCCCACTGCTTGGATGAAGATAACACAATATTTGGATATCCAAACCCCATATCCATTAAAATCACCTTTGGTGATGGAGTGAGTAGGTGCCATTTCTGTTCTTGTTTTCCATAAAGCAAAAACAATTAACAAACTTGGACGGGGGGGCACTGGAGCCACCCCCTTGGGTGCGCGCCATTGACCGAGGGATACCTTTGTGATAATCCATTCATATACTTTGTGATATATGGTGAGAGGGGAGGCCTTCATTGTGACCGACGTCTGATTGACTTAAGACTTAAAGGCCCCTTTCTTTGTGTATGTGTTTCGGTCTAGTCCCTGTCCTTATCCTTTGTTGCATGTCACTCCTCTACAGTTTCAAGGAAACTCTCTGCAGCTAATGCATACGGACAGGAAGCACACTTGGGCCCTTTTCCAATACTCGACTTGGGCTCCATCTCAGGCTTCGTTCCCAAAACCAATCCCCGATTGTGGGCCTGAAGCGTTTAAATGAAATTGGATTACTGTAATTTCTGGCTTTCTTGCATCTTATTTGATGTTTTGTGGCACTATTAGACTAATTACTGCGCTTACAGTTTCAAAGTCAGCTAGTTAAAAAACAGGTGAAGCCTGAGATGGAGCCGGAGTATTGGAAAACAGCCTAAAAAATGTGTTTACGGAATGTCGCCTTAACTCTTACCGTCGAGTGTTGGGACTGTGGGATGACTGTGAGAAGAAAATTCTCCGTATTAATTGCAGGTCTTGATACAACGACTTTCTGAAACAGCCCTGCTGTCCCACGCCCCACTCGATGCACTCTACAAGATAGCCATCAACTCAAGGACCGTGGTTCACCAGACTGGGGAATGTGTTATCGGTGAGTGTATTGCATACTCGTGCTCCATGCAGTGAGTGATTTATTAACCACTGAGAGATTTCTAGAGTGGCGCCTACGCTTGAACACATTTCTGTCAAGGGGCACCGAAAGCGGACGAACTCTGGCTTGTATATGTATATAATAAGTTGTGTACATTTCAAAATTACAAATCTGGGTGGGGGAATCCGAGGATCACAGACTTCAATTTGGAGGCACCAGTGCGCTCTACCCCTCCCCACCCGCTGTAGTTACTCCACTACATTCACGTAAATTACATTCAGTAACCCATTTCATGAGCACTTGCTGCATAAGTTTGTCAAGCTCCACCCGCCTCAAACTTTCACCCATTCCAGCTATTCTACGATGGGTTTTTTTTTATAAAATGTAGTTTTCATAGAAGGCCGCAGATGCAGACTTTTCAGTCCAGTTGAATAAAGTGTCATAAATGCAGTCATAAGTAATCTACGGAAAGTTTTGGCTTGAACCTTTTTTGGTGTAGTTATTATTTGCATGCCTGAGTGATTTATTTTTCTATTTTATAAATTTTCTGTGTAACACCATTTCTGAATTGTTTTCCTGTATGTTATATTTTGACCTCAGTGAATTTTTCTTTGTTGTTTCGTTATAGTATTCTGTCTGTCATTATTAAGTTAGAGTTATTCTAACACTTTATTTTACCATTTTTTCTATTTTATTTCTTGGATTTGTCTAAAATTATTACCTACATGCTTCCCTGAACTATTTCTGCTTTTAAAGAAGTAAATGTTAAACTAACAAAAAAATAAGCCTTTTTCAAGTTAAATTTGAATAAAATCTGGTACACCGAGTTATCTGATTGCACATGAACGTAACAATTTGAGTTCCTCAGACTAAAGGCACTGTTGCTAGACCTCGTGATTTGGGGCAAGCTTTTGCATAGCAACATCCACCTCTGGAATGGACTGGTTCCTTTGTGCCCTTCTTATCCATCGAGAACAGTGTATTGTTGCAAGGCATCTCTTTTGTAACTAAGCAAGAGCTTGCCCCGAATCACGAGGTATAGCAATAGTGGTTTTAGTATGGAGAATTCAAGTTGTGTTCTCGTGAATTTAAAGAACTCAGTGAACAAAGATTTTATTAAAATTTAATTTGCAAAAGAATATAAAGCCCTACGTTAGAGGCTCTACCCATTTGTCAATAACTTTATTCATGGGTGCTAGTTAGAAGCCATGTAACCTGAAACACCATGTAGCCAGGGATCACTCCCCGATTACACGATACAACCTGGGAAGTAGTGAACAGGGATCACTCAGGAGGATGCGGCTTGATCTCTGGCTGTATGGTGTTTCAGATTTTATCGCTTCTGGCTAGCGCCCAGAACAATGATATTAACAAATGGGAAGAGCCACCAACGTAAGGCTAGATACCTCAGTTGGTGGATCACTGGTACAGTATTCTGGAGGTTGCAGGTTCAAATCCCACTCCAATCAATTTCATTGTTCAACTTTATAATTAATATAAGCAATAAGTCAGTTTACCTGTAGAGTTTGACGATTTTTAAAAATGACATCTGCAGGTGAAGCCAGCACATCAGAGCAGCAACAGACCAAGATGGTCAAATCCACTGGCAGTGTGGATGCCTCCAGCACGGAACCACCCATCAAGATTGACCCAACACTACCCCCTGGTGTGGTCATCAAGGCAGCCACCTCCTCACAGGTTTTCTGGGGTAAGTAGGTAGACCAGCCTCTCAAGTTCCATCTCCAAAAGATATTCCGAGGAATGTCTCACCAATAGGCCAATTGCACCTGCTAAGTCACATGACCTATAGTGGATATTAAATTTCAACAAACACGGCATCCATCTAAAGCAAAGGTGTTTTAAGTATCATCTATCAAAAATAAAGCCAACGGTAGGTAACGTACTCAGACTACTGATGTGCTGGTTACTATATCAAAACTTGGCTGTATTGTACTGTCAAAAGACACGTTGCTATGGGGTTGATACCCACTATAGGCCACGTGATTTAGCGGGTGCAATTGGTCGCCTACAAGAAATGTCCAGCAAAGGCCAACATGCATGCACTCGTACCAAGACGTAGCTTACCATATGCAACTTAGCATAGTAGAGAGGCATGCCCAGATTCTGCCCAAGGATTGGTTGAACATTTGAAGTCACTACACAACCCAAACACCTATCGTTCAAGCCAACATGTGTCTTTTTGTCACAGGAGTGTATTTCGTGCAAGTTGGCATCGAAAACGTGCACGTTCTGTTGCCTGCCCGCGTAGCGGGTAGGGCTATGTGGATCAGTCATTTGACAGGAAACTTGCTTTAGGTTCGAGTGACTTGACACTACAGTGAATCCCTCATTTCTGCCTCAGCGGCACAGGTTAGGATCTCAATCCAGACCTGTGGATTGGGTTTTCAATCCGTGATTCTGTACATTGTTCACAGATTTGAAGTCCGCGGTTTCTCACACCTCTAATGTTGGCCTGCAGAAGTCTAAACCCACGCCGTCTGTGATCTCCTTGTTTGTTTGATCATCCCCTCCATTTCATTACCAAGAGAGTACTGAAATCCAATTTTCAATAATTCATTACTTGTCACTGACGGGAATTTTTGTTTTGGTATTTCACTTGGTAGCCGACGACACTTTCCTGTTGGTACTGAAGGGTGCCGTGATACTGAACAAGAACGAAGAGTGGGTGTGTGAAGACGGGGAGGTCTTATGTGAGTATGAACATCCAACAGGGTTGGCTGATGTGGTTAAAGATGTATGAAGCCAAAGACGGTTGGGGAGTTGGAACTTTTTAAGGCTGGTTCTTACTTGGCACAGATGCACGTTTGTGACATCAGATTAAAGGCATGCACGCTGCAAATTTGCAAATTTTCAACACATTCCAACTGATGGAAATTGTGCTGCCAGTGTTTTGCAATATCGCATTGGCTTCACTTTTATGTCTGTATGGACACTGAACTAGCCCTGCTTAATGTACAGAGCTGGTTCTTGGTAGCGGCTTCTGCCACTGTATGGCTTCTCTGCAAGTGCAAGACGTCTGTGTGTGCACGAGTTTAGCGAATAAAGATCCCAATCCAGTCCTGAGCCAAGAGTAAAGATCGTATAGCACCGAAGGTGCAAGATGGATAACTTTGCCCAAAAGGTGTAATTACCATGGGCGCCATTTGGGCAAGCGATACGCCTGCGCGGTTTACAGTAATGCTTCGGCGCAGGCTCACCAGGTGCACGTGCCTGCCGCAGCACCTGCGCCTATGCAGTAATGTGCATTGCGCAGGACTATCGCTTGCCCAAATGGCGCCTATGCGATTAAAACATTTTACGTGTATTTGCGGTAAAGTTCTTCATCGCCGCGTAGCGGCGCTATACGATCTTTGGCCAAGAGTACAGGCCACGCCAAACCACCTGTAGTCTGTTTTTCTCTCTCAATTTCAGGGGTCCCGAAGGCTGTCCTTCCCCGCTCGAGACTGGAAGCCAAGAAAGACTGTGTGATTCTCAAATTCACAGGCTCAACTCTGGATGAAGCGTGTGGCGATTACCCAGACACGAAGCTGACCGTCCCATCTGTCGTGAGGTTGTAGCCCAAGTGCCACATGAACAAGAAGTATTCTTGTGACGAGGCTGAACAAGAACAGCATTCCCAAACTCTCCGTCCAAGCGTAATATTCATTCCCAGCTTTTGTATTTGGTCACGGTGCTCAAGATTTTTGGTCCAGTATTAAATGTATCCATTGCTGTTTTGAAAAATAAAGAGTTAATGTTCTCTAATGCATACAACAGGGCTCAGACATTTTTGCAGCTCAAAGAAAGAAATGACTGAGTGACAAGTGTTTCAAGGGGCGAGTTCGAGCGACGACTATGGTTAACTGTAGCTCGACTAACACCGAACGATAAGTGGTTTGGGCTATCTTGTTGACCATTTGGGACTAGGCCCTAGGCCATAGTCGCACTGCTGGCTATCAATCACTGATTTCGTTTACCATTACGGAGGGAAACATTCACATGAAAATAACTGTACGAGATTTCAGTGACCCTGCATGTTTCGAGAATCGCAGCTAATGGTGAAATGTGAGTAACGATAAGATTTCATAAAATAGGTTGACTGTGGTCTTTCGAGTTTTACTGAATTGCACATGCGCATTGTTAGAATGCATCTGACTACTGGTTGACCTATAGTTAGCCTTCGAACGTTACCCTAGCTGTGATTAAGTCTGTCAAACTTGTAAGTGTGAACCATTTTCATTTCATACCCAGCAAATTTTGCCGGGACTTGAAAATTTGATTTACTCTCATATTAAGTATTCACCTGCCTCTAGCCATGTGAGTTTTTGCCAGGTTATACCTATTTGTAAATAACATAAACTCAAAAAAAAAAAAAACCTGAAAAAGCTATCACTGACAACTCCCAGCGCAAATGATTCAAGAGCTGTAAAAATCCACATTCCAACAAACACTTGTATTTTCTTTTCTCTTGGCTGGTATTTCTTTCCATGGAAAGACCGTTTATAAAATACTTTAGTCTTTTAACAAATAACTTCAGAATAAATATCTACATGTGCTGTGTTCCCACTTTTATATTTCTTGTGCCAGAATAGCCGGCGTCCCTTACGAAAATCTCACCATTGCAGCTTTTTAATGCTTGGGAACCAGCCCTAACACAGCAGGGGATAAAGACTGAATTTATATCCGATCACCCAACAGCGCATTTAGGGCCAATTACAGCGGGATGACGAGGGAAGAAGACATCGAAGAGATGTTCCGTTCTAGAGGTTGGAGGAAAACCCACTGACTGAGGTAGGGACTGACAACCCAATCCGCATACGGGCCGAGCTGGATTCGAACCCACACCCCCAGAGGTGGAAGGTGAGGTAAGAATCACGACGCCAACCTGACTCCCCACAAATGCACACAAATCAGAGATGGTTTACAGAGGGTAATTTTACTGCGTGGCACACTGGGTTAAGTAGCACAAGACCAATCCTGATATGTGGGTGTGGTTGGTTCAACTGTTATTTTTTCAGGGAGTCCTTCAACAGTTTCTGCCAGCATTATGGACAAAATTAGCGACACTTCAATGTGGCTAGTTTACTAATGCAGAGAAATGACCCCAGCAAAGGAGAAAAAACGTTTACAAAAATGTTAAAATGACCGTAAATGGGACACAAAGACACCTTTGATGGATAAAACAAGATACTTCCATATTTCCCTCGATAAAAACTAGACAAGACTGCTCCTCTTTTGACTTGCATAACATGACATCAACAATGTTGTATTAAGAGTAATACAGGTGTAAGCAATACAAAAATACATTTTTTGAATACCCATTAAAAATCTACGCTTTGAGGGACTGTGCTGATTCCAGGTTTACATGTACATGACGGACATGTAGATGATGCTGACTTCTCGAGTGACGCGCTGGTATTCTTTGCTGGTTCATCTTGCTTTAAACGTTGTGCCTCAAACAATGCTAACTGTCAACCAAAGAAAACAAGAGACCAAAACATGAAACGGAAAGGCAAAATACACGTAGTTCATGTCACTTCGCTGGTTCAACTTGCTTTAAACGTTGTGCCTCAAACAATGCTAACTGTCAACCAAAGAAAACAAGAGACCAAAACATGAAACTGAAAGGCAAAATACACGTAGTTCATGTCACTATATTTGCCACATTTAAAGTGCTCACCAGGACCACGGAGGAAGGACCATGCCATCCAATTTTGTCATATTTGTGATAACGCTGGATGGAAAGCAACAGGGGATCATGAATACGTTCAAAAATATTGAAAATGATGAAAATGCCAGGCATGACAATCCTGATTTGTTTTTTTTTTTTCTTTCTTTTTGGCGACAGTCTCCAGAAAGGAAAGGGGGGTCCCAGAAAAAAAAGACTGCAATATGTAACACTTGGATAGCCCTTACCGAGTGCCAAAATCAAAGTTGTCCTTTTTAAAAAAATCCCCTCCAATTTATTTCACAAGGAATCCACGGATATCAGCTAAACAAATCTCTACATGATACACGTTTAATAAACGAAGCCAGAATCTGTGACACTTCCATCTGAGCTGCACGCCGAATTAAAAAAAAAATCTAGTCCTCATCAGCCGCGCGTTGCCAGTTTTTGAGTTGGAACTTCCGAAGAAAATCTCGGGTGTCAATGTCATCTTTCTCACCTTCTTTCTCTCTTTGTGTTCCTTCCCGATGCCAAGTCTGTAAGGGCCAAAAACAAGGGGGGGTGGGAAACTGATGAAAAGTCCTGCCTTTTTCTTCGTACCTGCCTTGCAGGTGGC